AATTTCAGCACACACCAGAGTGAAGATCTGTGTCTAAAAGTGGCCAGAAGATAGGCACGGTCTGTGAAGTCAGTAGGGAGAAGTTAAAGGAACCCTATGGGGAATCTTCTCATGCATGTGGCAATCAGGCTTAGGTTAGTGCCTACTGCTTTGAATACTGATTAAGGTTCTGGTGAATGAAGAGAAATGGAGTCTTAGAAAATATTAAAATAGTGGTTCTTCACCTTCCTAATGCTACGTCCCTTTAATACGGTTCCTCATGTTCTGGCAAACCCCAAGCATGGATTTATTTATTTTTGCTACTTAATAACTGAAATTTTGCCACTGTTATGAATGCAATGTAAATATCTGTGTTTTCTGAAGGTCCTAGGCAACCCCTGAGATAGGGTCATTTGACCCCCAAAGAGGTCACAGCCTACAAGATGAGAACCACTGTATTAGAATATTATCAATATAAGCCTAATAATAAGATGATTGGTTTATTGTTTCCATGTTTCTGAAATACTTAATCTTGATTTTTTAAAATTACAAACGGAAATAGTAACAGCACAGTGGAGACGCCTGGTTGATACCATTTTCAATAACTATTCAAAATTTAGATCAGTAAGAATGTGCTGGATGACACATACTATCCTGTCTGTAACAGATAATCCATAGCTTAGGTGACAAGCTGTCTAAAACTGTGTAGCCCCAGTCCACTAGGCACACATGCCAGAAAATCCAGACTGAATCATATTTAACAACAACAACAACAAACTGACCAGAAGTCTTCAAAAGCATGACCAGAAAATTAACGAGACTAGGAAACTATCCCAGATCAAAGGACTGAAAAAGTCAATACCGTAACTTGGATGAATCCTGGTTTAAGAAAAAAAAATGACTTCAGTGAATAAGTGGAATCTAGTCGTTTATTAATGATAAATAGTAATATTTGAGTGCTAATTTCCTAATTTGATAGCTCTATGGTCGTGCAAAATATTCACCTTAGAAAAAGTTATAAAAAATTTACAATAGTGTTACTGTGTAATTTTCACTTTAAATTATAAAATTAAAACAAAGGGAAAGAAAATTTTCAAAGCTGATTATAAGTATGACAATATTATCAAATTTATGCATATGAAGGTATATCTACCCACACTTCTGTAACTCATAAGAGAATGTGTTTATTTGGGCTTATGGTTCTTGAAGGATGAGTTCAGAGCATTTATGTAGATATTCGGAAATTGCTAAAAAGATTATGTATTCTCCAATTGATTGCCTCAGTTCTTTTGTTGAGAATCAAGCAAACACAGAGGTGTGTGTGGTTATTTTTAGGTTGTTAAATTCTACTGGTCTATGTTTCTGTAACTGTCACCACATATTGAGTCTACTTTCTTTCTAAGTCTTAAGAACCATTCTGTGTCCTTCAACAGTTTTCTTTCCTTTTCAAATCATTTTTCCTATTCTTTGTTTGGTGTTTGTCTTATTTGCTTTCTGTTTTCTGAGACAAGGTTTCTCTGTGTAATAGTCCTGGCCATCCTGGAACTCAATCTGTCCCAAGCTGGCGTCAAATTCACAGAGATCTGCTGCTACTGCCTCCAGATTTCTGTGACTAAAGGCTCAGATCATCATGCCCAGATATTTTGACTCTTCTCATTCCTTTGTTTTGCATATGAATTTTAGCATCTTGTTAATATTAACAAAAAGAAGTCCCTATATGGGAAAGACATGATTAATGTTAGTATTGAGTCGTATCTATAGATTAATTTCAGGGGAAATGAGAGCTGAGTAATATTCACCTTTGAACTCATGAATATAGCACTCATCTCCAGTCATTTAGGATTATGTGCATCCAACCTTGTGTGTGGACCTGTGTGCCCATGCAGATGTGTTAATTCAATAAAATAAAAAGGGAGACACAAAATTAAATCAATAGTACTACCCTTGTAATGGTCTTACTTCACTTTTTATCCCTTTTCTTGTTTGTCTATTTGTTTGACTTCACATGATCATCAGATAACTGCTTTCATAATTTTTTTCTAAATTTATTTTTTTGCTTGCATTTAGTGGGACAAACAAGCTACTTACTAAAGTTTTCACGAGATTGAAAAGGAATTGATTTTAGCTTTGAGATTCTAAATATATGTTTCATGGTGATTGTGATCAGGTTGAGATTTTCCAGTTTGAAAATACCAGCTTTGAGACGGCTCCTCTTGTTTAAATTCTAAAGGATACAAGATCAATATGGAAGTTGAATGGATTTATCTGAGGTAAACAAGTGGATAAGGGGAATATAGAGCATTGGAACATTCTTTCCTCATGCGTACAAACACTTCCTTTCTTGACAGTGCCATGGTGTGTAGTTTTGAGATAAGTGAAATGGAAGGTGATACTCTATACAATGTTCAGGTTATGTATGGGAGTATTTCTTAGCAGGAAATGCCTTGCTGACAAATAATAGAAGTTAGCATGTAATGTAACATCACAACATTGCCATTTACTTGGACCAAAATAGAACAAAATTTCGTGAACCCAAATATATATCTGCTGACTGATAAAATCACGCTCTTTCAAATTGTGTTTCATATAAAGAAAGCTTATTATTGAAGTAAGTAGCTTTGACTTCTAGGAATCAACATTTTCATTTCCTCTCAAGAATTATTAATCACTAAGAGTATTTCCTCATTCACAATATAAATTATCTATTTAATATTTTTATGTCCTGGTTTCAGTTATGTGTAGTACAGACTTATGAAAACTTCATTGTACTGCTCTTGCTTTGCAGAACTGTACTCCCTGGGTCTCTAATGCTCTTTCTATTAAGCCGGTGAATTCTCCTAAGGACCTTCATAGTAACTATTTACTGAACTAGAAATTTGCAGAGCAGTCCATAATAATTCTCAGAGTGATTTGCTGAAGTGAATTTCATCTAAGAGTCTGAAATGCCTTCAGAATATTAGTATATCTGTATTTTTATAATAGAATTCTGACACTAAATTTAGATCCCATTTGATGAAGTGACTTCTCGATGAGGACAAAGTGAGCAGATGTGCAAATCCAGAGACACAGTCAAACTTTTTGTGAATATGTTTATACTTTTCTCCTAAGTGTTTGTGGCATATAATATCATGTGAAGCACTGAGCTGGGATACATAAATCCCAACCAAGCTTGGAAAAAATCAGGACATTGTGAAGACTGAATAACATTCTTTATATACAGAATTATCCAGCTCTGGGCAGAAATCCCAGAGGCACAATTTACAGCACATTCACTCATTCATGATTTGTGCCCTGGTGCTGATCTTGCCTCTCAGCCTGCTGGAATGATTAAGACATGATTCTCATTTTTTAAAGCCCTCAAGTAGGTCATTGTGAATTAATTTTAAAATAGATTTATAATTATCTTTTTTCAAATGAGCATTTGTTCCTCCGGTTAGTCATTCAAATGAAGGGGAGAGAGCAATTCCTTTGTGTCCATAGGCTTCTAAAGGATCAAGCATGTCACAATATATATGTAAATGTTTTATTCATAATATATTGGGCTTTGTGGTTTACAAATTGCATTTGCATTATTTAAACCCATTATAGTTAGGAATAGATTGAGCATATATTAAAAGCTCCATTTATACTTAATCAACTCAAGCAAAAGGAAGCAAATGTATACCTGATAACAGCTAGTTTCTCTTCCTCCACTTCCAACTCCCATCTTCTTACATCCTTTGGCTGGTCTCCTTCTTCCCTGTGGTCTCATTTCCAGTTTCTTTACTCTGATGCACACAAGTGTGTGTGTGTGTGCGCATTTATGTGTGTGTGTGTGTATGTGTGTGCATCTAAGCTCCATGTGTAAAAGAAAACATGAAGAATTTGTCTCAAAGTCTGGCTTCTTTCTGTTAACAATTTACAGTTCCATTATTTTTCCTGCTCATGTGTCTTTTTCCTTCAAGGCTATAAAATCTCATTGTTCATATACGCTTTTTTTCATTCATTCATTTATTCTAATTCAATTTCTTTGGCTAGAGCCAATAAATATCAATGTGCAGGTGTCTCCATGGTAGGACAGGGAGTCTTTCTGGGTGATTACAGGTTGTAATGAGTCATATGGTAAGTATATTTTTAGATTTTGAACAATGTCTATACTGATTGCGGCAGTATCCGCAGTAGTTCACATTTCTTCCAAAAGTAGTAGGGTTCCTCTTTCTCTGCATCCTCACCAGAATTTGTTGTCATTTTATAGCTGGGTGTTATATAAGTATGCATCCTCTCCTGAAAGGTAAACCTTATAACATTGTTCTAGTCCCACTCTTCCTAAGACTCTTTCTAGTGCCACTGCTCTCTTACGTGAATGTCTTTACTCTGTTCACTAAACATGATGATTCCTCTCCACTCTAAGGACATTTTTACACTCTCCTGTGCTTAGAATGTTCTTCTAAGAACCAGTGCTTTGGGCTTATCTGGTCTCTGAACCATTTCAGTTCCTTACAGAGGTTTTTCTCCACACCATCCCAGACAAATTTTTAAATATTTTATTAACTTGGTGGACTTATAACATTATGTGTTACTCTGTTAATTTATCTAGCTTTGTTCATAAACTCTGAGATCAGCCTTTGATCTACCCTCATCACCGCCAGCTACATACCAGGCATGAATTAATCATTTGTTGAATGAGTCAATGCATGAAATCTTAGATTTGATATGCAAGTTAATTGTTTCAGGACAGAGGAAATCAAGTACCTATTTATTCTTTTAAGTTTGTATTTATATCTTGTCTAAAAGAACCTTATGTACTCTACTTTGTAAAAGAAAAAAATAAGTTATGTAATTGCTTGTTGATATCTGTATTCTTGTAATATACAACAAATTTTGTGTAGACATAACTTTATTTACCCTGTATTCATAGTGCCTACAGCTATGTTAGATGTATGTCACATAGTAGGTGCTTTCGAAGTATGAGTTAAATCAATTAATACATTACATCAGTCTGTTCTGATACAAAGTAACTATATTTCTTTTCCCATCCACAGGACTATACCCTGACCATGTATTTTCAGCAAGCCTGGAGAGATAAAAGGCTGTCCTACAATGTAATACCTTTGAACTTGACATTGGACAATCGAGTGGCAGACCAGCTCTGGGTGCCTGATACCTACTTCCTCAATGATAAGAAGTCCTTTGTCCATGGAGTGACTGTCAAAAACCGTATGATCCGCCTGCATCCAGATGGCACAGTCCTGTATGGCCTCAGGTCTGTAATGTGGATCTTAAATCTAACTTTTCCTGAAAAAAGAAAGCCCAGTTGCCTGTTGTCAGAGGAAATGTTGTACTGTTTTCTTTCTTCCTTCTGCAGTCCTGCTGAAAAAGAGTCAAATCTTCTATCAGGGATATATCTAAGAGCTTAGGAAAGTGTGTGTACAAAGGACTTAGCTCTAGCTAAGACTAAGTTGTTACTTTTTTCCTTTTCTTCTGAATTATCTCTTAGTATCAGATGCTGATGCTAAAGCCGCTTTCTTTAAAGAATAGGAATAAACAGTGTCAAAATAGTTGAAGCACTGGGTTTCTTTAAAATAGGAAAACAGAAGGCTCTGCATGTTGAATGATGGTTTGTACATGGCATGTGCTCCTGAGCTAATGAACTGGGTCATGGTCCTTGGGTGACAGGAGTACTATGCCCTTTCATCCTCTGAGGAGCAATTGACTTAAAATAAATACCTTCTCATGTTTATTAATGCTTAATTTGTTCTCTTAAATGTACCTCTAGGAAAGCATTTCAGCACCAGACTATTTGGATGGTAATAATTTGTAACGAAAGCTAGTTTAACTTCAATTAAACCAATAGATGTTGTTCTAGAAAAAAATGAAAATACAATTTTATTCTGAAATTATTTCCATGTAAACATTTATTTTCCTGCTTGAAGGAAACCACTCTAAATATAAGCATTTTCAATTGCCTCTGATCTATTATTTTGCATAAAATATTTTTATCCTGAAAATATTACAATGTAAACACTTTTGCATGACAGAGGGAATTTATTCTAAATGTTAGTCTTGTCAATTGCCTCCGATCTGTTATTTTGCATAAACATGTGGCTATCCTATGATAATAGTGATGATAGTGGCAACAGTAATGTCTATCAACTGAACCCTTCTCAGGGGTTGCACACTGAGCTGAGTGCTTTCCACACACCATACAATCGCCAACAACACCCTATCTGCTTCTCACTTTACTTGGTTTTTATTAACCATCAACAGTTGTGATCTGAACACACTGAATGGAAATGATCAGAAATGAGAAATAGGGTTTATATTATGTAGTATTCACTAGCATGATGAAATCTTACTCACTGAGTAATCCAGTCCTACCTAAAAGAAACAAGTTACTGTTTCCCCTACAAATCCATGCTATAGATAACCATTAGTACCTTTGTAGCCATCTTGGATGTCAAGTCAACTGTCATATAATTGCGGTACCTATGTTCAAGTAACCCTTTATTTTTCTTGATAACATCCCTGAAGCACAGGAGTAGGGGACTGACAATTTAGATAGACCAGAAAGAAGCTGTAGAGATACCATATTTAGCAAACACATAAATTTCGTTCAATTTATATGAAAAGAAAAACAGTAGTATGCTGAGGTTGCTAACATCTAAAAGTAGAATACATCTTTTGTTAATAAAATTGCAAAGTAGGAAAAATAAAATCTTATTAGTTTTGTTGTCACACCTAAGACTGGAAAAGTGGTAGTCATAGTATGTGATAAATAAATTAGTTAAAATCAGAAAGGTATCCAAGTTACAGATGGAAGACATGAACATAAAATACATCCAATCTTACAGGAGTGTACTTTATGATATATTGACCCTGTGTGATCACTGCATCAAAGGGAATTGAGATGAGTGGCACCAAGCCATGTATTACAAGTAATAGGGACTTAAAATGGCTTAGGGGTATGACTGAGACACTCAGGCAGTTGCTGGAGAGGATATACTTGTATGTTCCAAGACTGCTGCTCTGTTTCTAGAAAACTTGAAAATATTGATTAAAGAGAATAATAAATGTATTAAAAAAACAGTGTTCAGTTGCAGTGAAACCTAGTTATTTGACAGGAAAGCACCCGGGAAAACTCAAATTCACAAAAGTGTAAAGAGTGTATTTTTCAGGACATGTGAAGGAATGATCTACTCTGGCACCATGTACCATCATTGAGGTGAGTTTCATAATCAGATGATGGGCACAGATTAAACAATCTATGTGCTTGAAAGGTAGAGAGAGAGAGAGAGAGACCATATGCCATGTCCTGGCAATATAATTGAACAGTTGGGGTAGCAGCCACTTTTTCTGCAGTGTTTTTACTGTTGCTTTATATCCAACAGGAAAAGTTATCTGGAAGAAGAAAAGCTAAAGTCGGATTAGTAATATGCAATGTGTCTGGATTTTCTGCATGTTTGCTCTATTTTTACTTCTAACACAATTTCTACATCTCAGATTCTTAGTTAGAGCATGGGTAAACTGGAGAAGAAATGCACATTTACCTGGTAGTTGATTGTATTAACCTGGACACTGTCCAGTCATGGAAATACTTCACTACTGGTGATCTATGCAGTAAAACTTATTGAAGCTGCAATTAATCAATTTCTGAAACACTTCATTGGTGAAGCTGAAAATATTATGAGAAAAAATTAGGAGAAGCATTCACAGAGCACTGCTTGCTAGTAAAATGGATTTTGTAATGTACTTGGTAGAAGGTTTGGACACATACTAGGTGCTATCAAGAAGTAACAGAAAGGGGAAGGGCTTGGTCGTGTCTCTATTTGATGTGCCATGCTTTGTGCAAGCCAATGGGGAGGCCTGTCCCTTTCTAAATAGAGATGGAGGAAGAATGGATGGGGAGTGGAGAAGATGGGAAAGGGGGAGAGGATGGAAGAGAGTAGGGATGGGAAACTGGTTAGTATATAAAATACATTAAATAAAACATTGTTTAATAAAATAAAACAAGCAAAACATTCGTAACAGTCAGAACATGCCTTTCAACCCAGTACTTAGAAAGTAGAGGCAGGTGCTGTGTCCAAGGCCAGCATGGTCTATAAAACCCAGTTCTACGACTTCCAGAGATACATAGTGAGACTCTGTCTCAGAAAAACAAGAAGTGTTAACAAATAAGAAATTAGAAGAATTTGTGTTGACTGCATATAAATAAAAAGAAAGTGATGAATGAATTAGAAAGTAATATATTTACCAAATAAGAATGGAATCCTACATTAAAATTCCCAGAACCCAGACTTGGGTATAGTATTATCTGTATGCAATCCAATACTTGCATTGTGAAATGAGATATAGATACAGGAGAATGCCTGAAAATGCTCAGGTCAAAAAGCCTGGTGTATGAAGTAGTAAACAACAAAAACCCTGTCTCAAATAAGATGGAAGGTCACAACTGATACCCAAAGTTGTCCTGTGACTTCCTATCCATGCTGTGGGACAACCACCCACCACAACAACAACACACACACACACACACACACACATACACACACACAAGCCATACATTTACATGTGCACAGATTTGTTATTTTCTATTGCTTCTGTATCCAAGAATGTTTAACATTCTCTTTTGTTAGTTGGCATTAGGACAGACAGTTTTACTGGGTATAATAATCTTCAAGTTTTCCAGGACTTAAAGTATATTTGTTCCTCCAAGTGTTTCTGGCTTTTTGTGTTTCCTTGGATAAGTCAACTGTTATTCTAATTGAGCTTTTTATAAATGAATTAAGCCTTCTGTTCTGAAGCTTTCAGTATCTTTTATTTGTTCTATATAGTTTTCTGACAATAATATGACATGGGATGTTTCTCTTCTAGTTCTACCCATCTCATGTTCTCTATGCCTCTTGTACCCAAATGGGGATCTTTTTCCAGAGATTGGGAAATTTTCTTCTATGATTTTATTGAAAATATTCTGTATGCTTTTTGTATAAGGCGTTTATCCTTCTTTTACATCTATAATTAATAAATTTTGTCTTTTCATAGTGTCCTACTTATCATTTGTATGCCATTCATACAATTCATACATTTTCCTTAAAAATTCATTGACTTCAACTGAATGATCTAATTTCTCTCTTTATCTTCTAGCTCTGATGGTTTGCACTCTATAGGATCCACTCACTGTTAAAGCTTTCCACTGAGGTTTTTATTGACTTAGTGAATATCTCATTTCTGATATCATTTCAGTTTGAGTTTTATTTGCTATTTCTAGGTACCTGATGAATTCTATTTTCAATACTGAACTGATTTTCTCATTTCATTCAACTGATTGTGTTTTCTTGGAATTGACTGCAGAGATTATTTGTATCCTCTTTTAATTCACTCATGAGCCTGTTTGCGTCCACTTTGAAATTTTGGAACATATTTATTATAATTGTTCTTGAAATCTTTGTCAAGAATTTTGTCTATGTCACCATCATTGGCAGCTACCACTACTTAATTGCTAATTTTTGGAGGAGATATTGTGCCTTGGATTTTTTTAGTCCCTGGTGTTTGTACGTTGGGATTTGCCAATTTGGAGTGAGCTGAGTTGACTGAGCATTGCCTTTGCTTCATTGGTCTTTACTGGGCTTAGTATTGCTTAAAGTTCAGTTTTGGAGGAATTTGGCATTGACCATGGGTGGAGTGTGTGAAAGTGATCTTGCCTTTGTTGAGAATAGGATCACAGACTGACTTTATGCATCAGAATCAGTGCAGGAATCATTTGGGTGTACCATGGGTAGCAGTTTCATGTGTCCCGTATGTGTAAGAACCTGTTATCATAAGGTATTATGGGAAAGTGGATCAATGCTAGGAATCACATGACCTCTAAATTCACAAGTCAAAATGTTTGAAGATTGTTGTACATGTGTGACAGACATAGATGGATCATATGACAGACATGGATGGATCATGTCCTCTTGCTTCTGTGGTGTTCAGGGCAGCGGAGCACACTCAAGGAAGGGAAGCAGCTCCCACTTCTATGGGCTTTATTAGTCTTGTCATTGCCTGAATTCAGTAAACTTGCTGAGTGGGTAAAGTATTCCCCAGAGGCAGGAGACTATAGCTGTCTTACCTGTTTAGGTCTGGTGCAATGGGACAATGGTAGAATAAATGAGAGGTAAGTGTAGAGGAACTGCTTACCTATTAGGACCATGAACAGGCAGGATTATGATGTATACTTCAGAGGTGGACTGTTTGGAAAACACTTTCTTTATGTATCTGTGTCCA